AGCCGACAAACAACCCCTGAGCGCGCGAGGAAGTGATGAGGAAAAAAGAGGTGTGGAGCTGCCCCCCTTTCAAGACTGTGTCTCAGACCGGCTACCATCTAAACACTTCTTTTAAATCATTAAGACCAAGGAGGAAGGAGGGAGCGGCAGTGCGGCCCCACCTCTCCCGGTTCACAGGGGGATGCCGTGGCCCCACCTCTGATACGGGGTCAAAGCACAGGCACCATGTTCTTACTAAACTGCTTTAGCACAGGGGGGCCTTTATTATTATTTAAAAAAGTATTTTTATTGATTTCAGAGAGGAAGGGAGAGGGGGAGAGAGATAGAAACACCAATGATGAGAGAGAATGGATCGCTGCCTCCTGCACGCCCCCTACTGGGGATCGAGCCCGAAACCCGGGCCTGTGCCCTTGACCGGAATCGAACCCGGGACCCTTCAGTCCGCAGGCCCACGCTCTACCCGCTGAGCCGAACCGGCCAGGGCTAAAGGGAAACTTATTAACCTAGACGACGACGGAAACCGGGAGTGCGGAGTTTCCTCACCAACAGCATCGCAGGGGAATGGCTGGGCCTGGGGGACCCTGGAGTCCTGCTGGGCTTTCACCCGTCCCCGTCTGATCACCCCGAGCGAGCGAGGCGGGACCGAGAGAGGCGGTGAGGGCACACGCGTCGCACTTACTTTGTTGTCGTCGCCGTATCTGATCATTTCATGAGCAAAGTCATCGGTGGGTCTGACACGGACAAACGCGTGCACTTTTTTCCTCGTGCTCATTCTCGCTGGAGAGAGGAACACAGGACAGTGTCAGCGGCTGCCCGTCACCCGGCCACAGCGAGGGCTGTCCCTCACCCGGCCACAGCGAGGGCTGTCCGTCAGCAGGCCACAGCGAGGGCTGTCCCTCCCCAGGCCACAGCGAGGGCTGTCACTCACCCGGCCACAGCGAGGGCTGTCCGTCAGCAGGCCACAGCGAGGGCTGTCCCTCCCCAGGCCACAGCGAGAGGCTGTCCCTCACCAGGCCACAGCGAGGGCTGTCCGTCAGCAGGCCACAGCGAGGGCTGTCCGTCAGCAGGCCACAGCGAGGGCTGTCCCTCACCCGGCCACAGCGAGGGCTGTCACTCCCCAGGCCACAGCGAGGGCTGTCCCTCACCAGGCAGAGGAGGAAGGAGTGGTGTCCAGTCCCCGGTCTCCTGTCCCCGGGAGCCATCTCCCCTCTCCCCCGGCGCATTTCAGTGCTCTGCCCACTGGACCTCCTGCTCTCCAGGTGGCCTCGCCGTGCCCACCCTCGGCCCCGCCCCTAGGAGACTGGAGTAAAGGCTCAGATG